TTCATTAGAGATATTGGTCTGTAGTTTTCTTTCTTTGAAGTGTCTTTGTCTGGTTTTGGGATCAGGGTGATGTTGGCCTCATAGRATGAATTTGGAAGAGCTCCTTCTTTTTCTATTTCTTGAAATAACTTGAAAAGTATTGGAATTAATTCTTCTTTGAAGGTTTTGTAAAACTCTGCTGTGTACCCATCCAGTCCAGGGCTTTTCTTAGTTGGTAGTCTTTTGATGGCTTCATCTTATTYCCTCCTTTGTTATTGGTCTGTTTAAATTGTGTGTATCTTCCTGACTCAATCTGGGCAAATCATATGACTTAAGAAATTTATTGATATCTAGAAGAGAGAAGGCTGGTAGTGAAGAGAAATGAGTTGGCTTTGAAGGAGAAGATAAAGGTAATTCTTCAGAGCTAATTGTGTGGCTTCATTAGAACTCTTGCTTTGTTTTTAGAGCTGTGACCTCCATTCTTTGGAAAGGAATGGATGGCAAAATGTTGCCCAGTGTCAAAATTTTGATGGGATTCATATCTTTGAGATTCCCTTTTAGGTTTAATGTTTGCTCTTTAAGGATTCAAAGCTCCTTTCTTTGTCCTTACTGAGCTGGACCTAATCTGTTCTCTTTTCATCCACAGTGGTTTAGACGTTCATTATGCAGTTACCTTCAATGGTGAGGCCATCAGCAATACCACCTGGGACCTAATCAGCCTCCACTCCAACAAGGTGGAAAACCATGGCCTTGTGGAACTGAATGATAAGCCYACTGCTGTTTATACAATTAGTAATTTCAGAGATTATATTGCTGAGACCCTGCACCAGAATTTTTTGCTGGGGAATTCCTCCTTGAATCCAGATCCTGATTCTCTTCAGCTTATCAATGGTGAGTTTGATATCCATCATGAAGTCTTATATATAATTTTAGTTTGCTCTGGGAAAAACTAATTTTCCTAATTACATGCAGTTCTGAGCCTTCCTAGACTACATAAAACAGGAGCTATCTTGATACACATGGAGCTTTAGTCATGCTGCAATTTTGGATACAGTAATTAGGATTTTGGCGGGGGTGTGGGGGGATATTTGTAGCTAGGAAGGTCACAAAGTGGGGAAAGCAGAGAATAGCAAGACATTTAGAAATAGTTTGGAGAGATTAGAGCAAAGTATTTTTTTTAAAAAAGGAAAATAGTACCTGGAAATATGAATTGAAACAGACTGTGGGTTAAAGGCAACCAAGGATGAACTCTCTAGAGGAAACTCAGCTGGTTGAAGCTTAAAAGCCAGAGAGTAGATGAGAGGAGCAGTTCGGAATAGCTGATGGGCGATCATGGTCAAAGAAGAACTGGGTCCAGAGAATTCAATACTCTGTTTGAATTCAGATGGCTATGGTGGGCTGGCTCTGATCCATAATGAGCAGGTGGATCCAGGAACATCAAGGAGAGGGTGACTGTTCGGGATTTGGGGACTAAAAGTGGCCCAGGTGACCTGGGAATACAACTTGCTTAGAGTTGGGCTGCTAGTTCTTAACATCTTAACTCATCAGGACACAAGTCCTGTTAATCTACTTGCTACTTCATGTTTGCTTCTCATGATTTCTTCACTCATTGGTAGTTTAGCTTTTAAAACTTCAGCAGAGTGTGTTTACTGAAGTGACAGGATGGGGCACATACCAACTGCCAAAAATAAAAATCCATGTGTGAGAGCAATATTAATAATAATGCATTTTTATAGCTTCTCCATCTCCCACAGAGTTTAAAGAGAAATGAACCTGTATTCTTTTTTTAAGAGAAAAAAACTTTAGACAAATTAAATTTAACAGGTTAATTAAACAAAGAGTGATTTTTTTTTAGTTAGATAGCCCCTAGAAGACTTTGTAAAATTTTGTAAGACTCCAGGGTTTCCATATGGTTGGATAATATTTATAGATAGAAAATGAGAAATGATACATGGCAAATGAAARTGAGGTATAGAAATAGATGGGTTGGTTAAAAACAATGTTTACCTTATTTGATGATTTGATGGAAACTCAGTCACTGTGACTGGATGACACTTTGCTATATGTTACAAAAACAAATTCCTGAGTTAGGTTTTCATTTTGTTTGTATACTGAGTTAGATTGTAGCTCTGTATGTAAGGACTCAGGTATGTGAGTTCAGAAGCCTGCATAGGCCAAATTTAGTTTATTTAATATCTTTCAAATAGTGACCACCTAAGCCTTTGTGTGTGTATGTGTGTGTGCATGTAAATAAACAGACAGAAATGGACACTACAAACCAKAGAGTCTTGTTGAGTCTATATAGGAAAAACAAATCATTATTAATAGAATAGAATAGAATACGTTAGGGAACCAAGATTTGGAAGATTGGGGTTTGAAGAAAAAATATTTAGAAAGAAAGGAAAATCTTTTCTTTCCAGGTAGTACTAATTTGTGTGTGTGTGAGTGCATGTGTGTGTGTGTGTGTGTGGTGTAGGCTTATAAGAATGTATTTGTGACTGTATCAGTGAGCTTTCTGTTGCTTTGACAAAATGCCTGAGAAAAAACAACTTAAAGGAGATCAGATTTATTTTGACTCACTGATTCAGAGGTTTCGATCCATAGTCAGCCAGCTCCATTGCTTTAGGTCTGTGGCAAGGCATAGCATCAGGGCACAGAYGGTGTAGTGGTACAGAGCTGCTCACTTCATGATGGCTGGGAAGCAAAGAGAAGATGAGGCTGGGTACAAAAGATACCTTTTCAGTGCCCCCAGTGCCTTCCTTCCTTGAATGAGGCCCCACTTCCGACAGTTTTTACCACCTCCCAATAGTCCAGTCAGTTATGAGCCCATCAGTGAATTAATCCACTGATGAGATCAGATTCCCCATGATCCCATCACTTTCCAAAAGCTCCACCTCTGAACATTGCTGCATTGGGCAACCAAACTTTCAACGCATGAGCTTTTTGCAGACATTCCAGATTCAAACTGTAAGGTGGTGTGTGTGTGTGTGTGTGTGTGTGTGTGTGTGTGTGTGTATGTGTGTGTGTGTGTGTGTGTGTGTGTGTGTGAGAGAGAGAGAGAGAGAGACAGAGATAAACACATTGATTTACTGTGTGTGATATGTGATATGATCCCTTAGTACCCAAGTAAGATTTTTAGAAAGTTACTCGGCTTGACTAAAACTTCAAGTTGCTTTACAACTATTTTGGCTGCCAGACTAATGTTTTTTTTTTTTTTTTTTTTTAATTTGACACACTGTGCTGAGGAAGTTCTTTTAATGAAGGACTTAGAGCCTTAAGATGGAGAAACCTTTCTCTTCAGTGGGTGATAGTGACATAAAGTTATTAGTTCTAAAACATTAGAGAGTATTTGTATTTTGGAGCAGGGTGGGTACCCTGGGCTCCCTTTTTCATAAACTCCATTTTCTTTGTTAAATCTTGTTGGAATATTTGGGTCATATGAAATATCAAATAGAAAAGAAACTTGTAATCTGAAACTGGGGGCTAGCCAAGGGGATAGCATATGGGCGAAGACTTCAGGAATGTGGATGTGGGGTTGAAACAGAGAAAAGATACTTATGAAGTAAAGACGTCAGAGGGATTGAAACCTAAACTGAGCAGATAAGTGCAAATACCAAGGTCAGCAACCATGAGGTAGGAGTATGCCATGAGGATTAATGGATGCAATAGGCAAAGTAGTTGACTAGGAAGCTAAATCTACAAACAACATTGTAAGATCTTCCTCTTATGTGGAGCCTGGAAGTAGAACTACCTCCTAAAAGGTGTCCTAAAAAGAGTCATCAACTCTCTTAAAATTTGGAAGAAAGTTCAACAAATGTTTAAGATATTCAGTACCAACTTATTCGAGTATCTTGGTCTTTCATTAGATGTAGGTTTTAATTACTCAAAATTTTGTTCCTAGAATACATTTCTATTGTTATACCAATTTTAGAGTTCTATACTTTCTAGGAAACTTGAATGTGATCATCCTCGATCTTCTATTTCCCATAGAAAATGGGAAAATTATATATACATTTGAAAAGAATTTTGGAAAATATGTAAGCCAAATAGAATTTTTGTTTCTGCTTGATCCCTCTATGGCTGGCCAGTGGGTACAGGTGAATAAAGAGACCCTGCTCCTATTTTAGCAGCATACACCAAATCTTCCTCCTTATAATCACCACTTTTTAGCTTTTATGATTCCTATTCTCCTTCAGACAAAAAGCCCAATTACTTCTTTGTCCATGTTTATATATATATATATATCCCTCACATTGCTTTATAGTTTCCAGTTTGTATTTTTCTCTATAACAGTGCTTCCAAAAGAGAAACTCAGTTTTATTAATATTTATAGCTTTAACTTTGGCAAAGTCTWTGGTAACTAGCAAAGATTCAGTAAATCTTTGTTGAAATAAATTATACAATCTACTCTTTTTTTATTACCCTTTATTATTATTACATAATAAMCCTTTTTGGTTTTGAAGGCCATTTTTCAAAGTCTCTTTCTGGCAAAAAGGGAATATTTTTCGTACTTTTTCTACCATTCTTACATTGTTCTAATGAATTAAAATGTTGGTTTAGTTTTCTTAAAATGAAAAAAAAAATCAGCTTGAAAATAACTGTTTCTTAGGAATCTGGAAAAAGAGTAAAAGCTGTCATGAGGAAGAAAAGGAAATAATATGAGGGTCCTACATATAATAATGGGAAGGATCTTTGTTTTATGTTAGATTCTTATAATTCAGATAGATTAYGCTAATATAAGTAAAATACCTAAACAATGTTGCAAATATTTTGTGAGTCTACCTCATCTGTTCTGCTAAAATCTAAACTATAAGGAGGAAGAAGTTGGTTTTTAGTTGTTGCTGCACTTCAAATAAAATAGTGTCACAATTAAATGCTGTTTACTATTGTTCTTTTCTCAGTGAGAGGAGTTTTGCTTCCCCAAACTGAAGATCTAGTTTGGGACACCCAAAGTTCAAGTCTTCAGGCAACATCTCCATCTATTCTGGTATGTTTCTATGTCTTGCCTAGACCCGGTTTTTCTCCCTTGTGTCCTCACCTGCTTACTTTGGCATCATGAGCTTCTCAAGCTGTTCCCATTGCAAATATTCTCTTGCATCATCCCTGGAACATTACTCAGAATTGTCAGCTCATGGGTACCAAGTGTTGGTTCAGAAAATTTAAGCTTTCCATGGTAGTTAAATGAAGTCTTACATTGCCAAACTCGACACATGGTAGAATACTTAATATTTATGGTTCATACTTGTTTGGTGATAATTAAGCTATATGTGTCCAGTGAGTTGTTTTCAAAGTTATCCAGACATAGTTTTTATAGATAAGACTATAAATTGATGTACAAGTTCAGAATATAGACTTTAATTTCAAGGATTGTATTGCAGAAAGTTTGGACACCAAAGCATATAGAATAGTGTGTGAGTGTGTGTGGAAGGGAAAGAAGGAAGAGTAAAAATATCAACTAGCTGACAAATAACAGGGACTATAAATCAGATATCCTTTTCAACTGGATTGAAAACACTTCCATTTGCACATCAACAGCATGGAATGAATTTTACTTTCTGTTCTTACTACCAACTCCAGGAGGAATTCCTCTTCCATCTCTACATCTCTAATTTCCACTTCACTTATAGGAAAGCATCCAGTAGAAAAGAAAATAACATCCTTGAGTGCAGTTAAAATATCCACAGTGCAGCCACAATGGCAGTGCCCTATCTATCTATAATGACTACAGGGATCACTTACTATCACAGATACCAGAGGGGGACTCCTCATCTACGCTCCCCACTCCTTCTACTCTCTTAAGACTTCTTTTTGTCTCGTTTCAGCTGTATGAAATACTTGTTTCTTGGCATTAAGCCAGCAATGGAAATTTGGAAAATCTTCCCCCAATTCATTTGATCATTGATCTATGTAGACAAATCTTCTACTTAGCAATAGAAGAACTCAATTTTGAAATATGRAATCTCTGGAAAGAACCTTTTCACAGAGTTCCATTTTGGAGGAAAAAAAGGATGGGGATATTGACATCAGAGTGTACATTCATTTGGTGTTTGTTTATTCATTCATTCAAATATATTTATTTTGTACTTTTAATGTGACAAGTGCTGGGGAAACTTAGATTAATAAGGTGTGGCCCTGCCTCCCAGAATTTTCCAGTCTGGTAGTAGACAGACTTCTAAACAAACAAGTTGATGCAGTTGCTATCCTGGATGTCCATCCAGAGTGCAATGGCAGAGAGAGGTAAGGGCACCACTTGTTTTCGCTCCTTCTAATCACGTTCAACCTGGGACTTCTGTAACCACACGTCTGTGATGATATTTTGGAATCATGCATGGTGTCAAGACAGGATTCCTATAGCAGGCAGAAGTTGCTAACTGGAGACCAGCTGGCTACATCTAGCTGTAGACATGCATTTTGCAATGAAGTTTTAAAAATAAGCCAACAACTAAAAATTAGATTTTTACATGAAAATACAGATTTCCAGCTTCTTTTGAAAACCTAGATCTGATGTTATTAAATTCACTTTTCTTTGTGTCAGAAATGGCTGCTACTTTAATGATGGCAAGCAGTGACTAACTGGGCTTGTTGCTCATTTATATTGCTGTGGTTCCCTTTTCATTTAAGCCAAATCCTTACTTTAATGAACAGTGATAACTGCAGAGCATTCATTAACAATTTAGGAGACATTGGAATATTTAAAAAAATTTTATTGATATGTAATGATTACACATAGTTATGGGGTACAGTGTGATATTTTTATATATGTATGCAATGTGATCAAGTGGGAATGAATTATATCATCACCTCAAGATTTTTCATTACATTGTGTTAGAAATATTCATATCTGTCTTCTAAGTATTTTGAAGTATACCATATTGTTAACTATSATCACACCTCTATGCTACAGAAGACTAGATAGTTCCCTTTAACTGACTTTAACTTGGATCCTGTTAATCAACCTCTCTCCCCCTGACTACTGCCCCCTGTCCTTTCCCAACCTCTGGTAACTACTATTGTGCTCTCTGTATCTATGAGATCAACTTGTTTAGCTTCCACATTTGAGTGAGAACATGCAGAATTTGAGTCATTAGAATGTTAATGAGTGATAATAAGATATAAATAATTGTGAATTTGAAATGTCTGGTCTGTCTTCCCTCCCTCCCTCCTCCCTCCTTTCCTTCCTTCCTTCCTTCCTTCCTTCCTTCCTTCCTTCCTTCCTTCATTCCTTTCCTCTTATTTTATCAATATTTTTACTATATTACAGAAGTGAGTTTTTAAAAATAAATTGGATTTTTAAGAATTATTTTAGAGTTAGAGATATTGCATGATTGAATTTGGCAGTTTTCTGGCATCCCACTGTGAAAATCTTCATTTGTTGTACAATAAGTATGCTTTCTGTAGTAGTAGCAAGCTTTTTAGCTGGCATTAGCAGATGTGAAACTGGCCAATATAATATTAAACTTGTCAGTATACTACATTGAATTTAAAAAGGAATTCATAAATTGAATTTGTTACTATGGGAACATCTATCGATATAAAAATAAATGAAGTGCTGCTATTCCTGGCATGTATAATATTCACCTTTGAAAATGTATAAGAAAGTTTCATTACCAAGCAGTTTTTTTAAAAAAATTGTAGTTGTAAATAGACAGCATGCCTTTATTTTGTCTATTTTTATGTAATATTGAGGATCGAACCTAGTGCCTCCCATGTGCTAGGCAAGTGCTCTGCTACTGTGCTATAGCCCAAGCCCCCATGCAGTTGTTTTTTTTTTTTTTTTTTTTTTGGTGCTGAGAATTGAACTCAGTGGCACTCAACCACTGAGCCATATCCCCAGCCTTATTTTGTATTTTATTTAATGACAAGGTCTCATTGAGTTGCTTAGTGTCTCACTAAGTTGCTGAGGCTTTGAACTCGTGATCCTCCCGTCTCAGCCTCCAGATCTGCTAGGATTACAGGCATGGGGCACTATGCCCAACTCCCATGCAGTTTTATAAAGTTTAATGTTTATTTTTTAGTTTTCAGCAAACACACATCTTTGTTTGTACATGATGCTAAGGATCGAACCCAGGCCGCACGCATGCCAGGCGAGCACACTACTGCTTGAGCCACATCCCCAATCCCTCCCATGCAGTTTTTTTTAAAGTAGTATTTATTTGGAATAGAAGATCTTCCTTCCTTATTTGAAAAGTCCTACTGCTTACTTTTATACTTCATGTTACCTGTTGGTAATTTGAGTCTTAAAAGATATTGTTCTACTTTTACTTTTTATAAAATTAAAAAGCATTTATTTTTTATAAAAATTATGTATTACAAGGTTCACGGTCTTGCCTAAGTTTCCATAGCTATGAACTAGACATGGCTACTTAGAGATGCTAAAATACTCTGCTTTGAGGACTTCTTTTTATTGAGAATTCAGCTGCTTTTCTACTAAGCATCAGGCCCTGTCTGATGGAACTCAATTCCTGAAACATGGGCTAAATGGCTTATGATATCTCATTTGGAATTTTTTTAAAAGCATATTTGGAATTTCAAGAATGTGAATCTTCCTGACCTGGATGGAAGCATGAGTTGCTTTGACACATATCTAGAGGTACTTTTAGAAAAGAGGACAAAAGTKAATTCCCTGATATGGCGACATCATCATCACCCTAGCTACTTTTCTGAAGAAAGAACTTGGTATTGAGCAAATGGCTTTCTTACTTTCCCCCAGTTTAAAAAAAAAAAAAAAAAATATATATATATATATATATATATATATATATATATATATATATATATTGAACCTAGAAATAGTTGGGGGTAGGGAAAGAAGAAAGGAAAGGAAATTCTCTTTATATAAAAATAGCCAACCTATTCCATAGAGCAGACGTTTAAATATTAGAAAATGTCCTCTCTGTCTCCCTCACTTCTGTGTTCACCTGGGTCTTGGAAATGCTAAGCCCAAATGCCTGATTAGCCAAGTCTGTTCTGGTTTCTCCTTTGGAAATCCTTTCACCATCTGGATATATGCACTCAAAGAGACCTATGAATGAATAGCCTGTGGTAGTGGGGAAATCACAGGAAAATCCAGATGCTCAGCTTCTAGTTCTGATTTTTTTTTTTTKSMWTTTTTTTTTGCAACATTGGGCATTTCACCTCCACGAACCTCAGTTCTTTATCTTTAATAGGCATGATAGGACTATATGATTCCTAAGAGTCTAATTCTAAAAATTGATTGACCTTTGTTTTGCTCACACTTGTGCATTCTCAGCCCTTCCTCCCTCATAAGATTTTTATAACCCATAGAATGGCCCTGTAAAACACCTGAGCCTTTGGAAAAGACAAGTTGCTATTTTCACTTATTTTTTTTCTCTCTCACATTCTAGACTGTATCTTTATATTTATCTGGAATTGAACTCTTCTCTCTCCATCAGGTCTATTCTTAAGGACAGAGGATAATTTAGATCTGATAGACAAAAATATGAAGCAACTCTGTGTGTCTATTTGGTGCCAAGTTATGTAGGAGCACTACATCCAGGCCAGTGATTTGCAAGCTGCCTCCAATGTGTGCAGTTATTTAAGGTGAATTCTGCTCCAGATGATAATATACTCTATTCTTAATATACTAAAATTTACTAGGTAAATGCTGGAAGTGGTTTCCTCATTTTAGTCACTTTTTCACTGCTGTGACTAAAAGGACCCAATCAGAACAACGTAGAGGAGGACAGGTTTATTTGAGGACACAGTTTCAGAGGTCTCAGTCTGTAGATAGTAGGCTCCACTCCTCGGGGYTCAAGGTGAGGCAGGACATCATGGTGGAAGAGTGTGAAGGAGGGAAGCAGCTCATATAATGATCAGAGAGCAGAGAGAGAAACTTCATCMGCTAGATACAAAATATATACCTCAAAGCCACACCCCCAATTTCTGCCTTTTCCAGCTACACCCTACTACTTTAGTTATCACTCAGTTAATCCCTATCAACAGATTAATTAACTGATTGGGTTAAGGCTATAACCCAATCATTTCTTCTCTATACCTTCTTGCATTGTCTCACATGTGAGCTTTTGGGGGATACCTCATATCCAATGCATAACCCTCCTGGATTAGATCCTACCTATTTGTCTGACTTGGGAACCAAGTCTTACTATCCTCAGGTTCACTTCAGATGAAGGATTCCTGAAGAGGGAATTTATTATCCTGAAATCTTTCTTTATAGCTCATTTGTAGTTGCATCTAGTCATTTGAGGATAGCTTTCAGCTTCCTCTTTCTTTACAATACAGTACACTTCTCTCTAATACAGTTCATTTACTTCAACATTAGACTCCAGTGTTAATGCCACTGTAGATTAAAATATATCAATTCCCACAAATGCCATGTCTATTTTGCTTTAACATCATCATGATACTTTTTAATGTAGACTTCCCTTCATAAGATTAAATATTTACATGGTCAAAGGTTGTATTTCTGTTTAATTCTACTCTTGAAGCTAAATGTTTAGAGGAAATCAATTCCAMATTAGTTAAAAAGTCACTAGAAAGAGAAATTTGTTATTTTGTAGGTGTGATGCCATTTCATGGGCCTGGCTGTTTATTTGAGATAGATCACACTTTAATGTGGTGACTTTTCTGATAAAAATGAAGGATCTTAATTGTCTTTCAGAATAATGAATGAAATTGATAATTGCTTCTTTCCACTGTGAGCAATGGGCTTAGGTCTTTGCTGACAAATTATAGATTAGTAATTTCTATGAATTAAAGACATTTAAGCTAAAAACATGGGAAGAAAAGAACTATTAAAAGCAAAAGAAATAGTATTTTCTCCCACAAATTCACTATGTAGGTTTTTTTAAATAGATGCTCTCATTTGTGTCCCTTTTACAGGTGAGTTTTGAGCAGTTACATAGTTTTTCTCTAGGTTCTCCAACCCGTAAGTGGCCGAATTGGGATTTGATATCAGGTGTTTTATTCTGGAGCCCTTATCTCTCTACCCTCTAATTTTATACTGCCTCCTTGTTCCTAGAAAATCCAGGAATCTGGATAGATTCGTGGTCTTTAAAATTATTTTTATGTGTGTGTTTTATGTATGATGTGATATAGCCTTTTTCTCCCCCCAGGACAATACCCTTCAAGCTGAATGGCCCTCAGCAGATGAATCTATCCTCATCAATGCTTCACCACTTGATTTCAATTCCGGTCCTCCCTCAGCCACTGGAAGGGAATTCTGGTCAGAAAGTCCTTTGGGCGATTTAGTGTCTACACCTAAATTAGCCGTTCCCTCGAAGGCAGTCCGTGGTTCTTCCCCGGAAGTGTTAGAGGTTAATAGCTTGACTCTTCATTCTGTCACCCCAGCAGCACTTCACACTGGCTTGTCTGTGGCTTCTGAGGAGAGGACATCTGGATCCCACTTATTAGAAGATGGTAAGGACTTTTAATCACTTTTCATGCTTCTTTTTAAAAATTTTATCTATTTTTAAAAGTTTGTATTGGTGTTCACAATTACACGTTAGTGGGATTTGTTTTATATATTCATACATGCACACAAAATAATTTGATCAATTTCATTCCCCCAGTACTTCCTGTTTCTTCATGTTTCCTTATGTGTCAGATGGCAAGGGTTTTGAAGAAAGGAAGAGACTGTGGTGAAAAGAAAAGCATAGTAGCATTCATTTAGGAGAAAATGTCTTAGGAAACCTGTGTTAGAGAGGAAACAGATTTTATTGGTTAGATGGGAGTCCACATCTGTAAGTAATAAAAAACGAACTTGAAAAGGTAGGGTAGAAATCACTTAGTAGATATGTTAAAGCTCATATTGAAAACTATATAATTTAACTAAGTTACTGTTACCACTACTATTAAAGAATTACTTTGCTTACTTGAATATTRAAGTGGTAAAAAGAAGCATCCAAGAAGATTATTCTAGTAGCTTCTAATAGGATTAATATAGGATTCTAGTCTAAAGATTTTAGTAGCTTAGAGCAATATTTGAGAAGATAAAAAGAAATAAATATGATCTTCTGGATATTGTAGAGAAAAGAAAATATCAATGTTGCTTAGGGTTGGTATATACAGGTGAAAGAGGTATGTGAACAAAGATATAAATAATGAGTGCAAGAATCTGAACACAAGGTGAGTCAGATGGTAAATATTTTAACAAAGAAAATGGGAATTCAAAGAGAAACCCAATTTCCAAGAAAATTTCTCCCTAAGTTCCTAGAGAATTTGTTTTTTGTTGAAAATATGTCTACTAGCAGTTCTTTATTTTCATGGGAAAAAGTCAAGTGTTTTAAGATTAATTATTTTAATAGTCAATCTTATCCTTAGAGAAGTAGGATATATTCATGAGTGATTGCCCCACATTACAAACAATTACTGTATCTTCTTATTTGCTAGATTTAAAAGTTAGCTATAGACCTGCTAGCTTAACTAGAAAAACAGCAGAGAACCATGAATATATTTTTGCAACTTTGTAGATTAATGAATGGAAAACTTTATTTTTAGCCAATGTTGAAGAGTCACAAGATATTCTTTCTATTGATCCATTTCCTTCAAGTTCATTCACTCAACATGTGCCAAAAGAAACAATACCATCCATAGAAGACTCTGGTGTGTCCTTGACATCCTCACCATATCTGACATCTTCTGTTACTTTAGATCTTGATAAAGAAATACCTTTTGGCTCGAACTCCTTGGATTCTGAAGTCAAAGATCAATTAGAAGTGAGCCCTTCATTTCCAGATACATCCATGGAAAAAGAGTTCATATTTGAGAGTGGTTTAGGTTCAGGATCTGGGCAAAGGGTGGATCTGATTACTTGGCCATGGAGTGAGTCTTTATTGGAGAAGAACACTGAACCACTGTCCAAGTCATGGCTTGAAGATGAAAATTCACTTTTGCCAACTGAAGGTATAGATGAGAAACTAGTTATGAATGACAAAATGGATTCCACCTACCAAATTACTGAGCATTCAAAAGATAGGCCTGAGGATGGATCCACAAACTTTGCAGAGGAAGAGCCCCTTGGTGGACCTACTGTGCGCATTTTTGCAGAGTCTGCAACTCAATCTGCATCTCTGAATTTTCCCAAGCACACATCAGAGGTACCTGATATTGATTATAATTCAGTTACAAAAGCATCTGTAGCAATTTCTGCTTCTACTGATCACATAAATGCCTTCCTGAAAGAGAATATAGAGCAAACTACAGATTTATCTAGCCCTGAGAAGTTTGACAGCAAGAGTTCAGTGGTAAAACCAGATATACAGCCTGTGTGGACCGTATTGCCAGAATCAAATACAAATGGAGCAAGAACATCTTCCCTAGAAAAATTGTCCAGAGACACATTGGCAAGTACAYCACAGAGTCCTGACACATTCTGGTTGAAAGCTTCCATGACACAGTCCGCCAAATTTCCTCCAACCACAAGCCCCACCCTGCTGGAGGATGAAGTAATTATGGGTGTACAGGACATTTCATTAGAACTGGACCGTGTAGGCACAGATTACTATCAACCTGAACTAATCCAAGAGCAAAATGGCAAGGTCAGTGGTTATGTGGAAATGTCTACAAATATTAACTCCACAGAGATGGCTATTGTGGCTCAGCCCACAAAAGGAGATGACTTGAGTCACACCCCGACTGCTGGAGCTTTGGTGGTTTTCTTCAGCCTCCGAGTGACTAACATGATGTTTTCAGAGGATCTGTTTAATAAAAACTCTTTGGAGTATAAAGCGCTGGAGCAAAGATTCTTGGAATTGGTAAGTTCAAAAAGTGAAACATGGGCATTAGTGAACAATCATGGTGACTCTCTCCAACCCTTGACACCCCATGTCTAAGCCCAGGAAAGTGGAATCTGCTGTGTTCATTCATTTTCTGTCACCCACAGAGAGCATCATGGCCTAGGGTTAATAGAAGAATAACACAGATGCATTCAAGAGATGGAAAACACAAATGTGCCATGAGAGTGATGTGATAGGCTAGAGAATTTAGATACTGAAGATTATATTCCTTGACTTATAGGCCTGAAATAACATGAGAAAAAAATCTTACTGTGAGACCAGTGTTTTGTGGGCATTTATGCCCAACTTTAGTGAAACAAAGAAAATAAACTTCCTGGATGTCCAAAGCTGTTTATGAATTCCATGGTGTTCCCAAATATCATTGTGAAAATCTCATGACATTCTTAGTTTAGACTCTCAAATAATTCCTAACTTATAGCTTTGTTCATTAATAGTTCAAATGCAGGTAGAATACAATTAGGAAAAGAAGGAGAGGGGCTCATCTTTGTTGTTTTTGTCTTTTGTTATGTATTTTTAAAAATGCAAAGCTGTGTTGATAAATTTATCACTTTTCGTGTATTGTAGCTGGTTCCCTACCTCCAGTCAAATCTCACAGGGTTCCAGAACTTAGAAATCCTGAACTTCAGAAATGGCAGTATTGTGGTGAACAGCCGAATGAAGTTTGCCGATTCTGTTCCTCCTAATGTCAACAATGCTGTGTACATGATTCTCGAAGACTTCTGCACCACTGCCTACCAAACCATGAACTTGGCTATTGATAAATATTCCCTTGATGTGGAATCAGGTAATGATAGTGCCCACCATGCTACTAGTTTCTTAATGGAATACAGTGATTATTCTTGTGTTTTTGTCTGAATTGAGGGGAAACCAAGACTTGTAGGAAAGAAAAAAAAATACAATTCTTCCAAGGACATCAATAACATTCACTTTTCATAAATGTTATCTTTATTGGTTCACCTCCCTCTCTTCGCTATAACTTTGCCTGGGTCTCTCTTTGATTTATCTCTTGCTCTTACTCTATGTTGCCAAGCCCCTTAACTCCACTGTCAATTTGAATATGTAGATACAGATATATAATATTCATTCCTATTGTTTTGTTTTATGTAAATGTCAGTTATTCTCTTCAAAGAGCAAACTTCCCTTCTGAGCTCTAGAACCATTATCTAACTACTTACTTTACAGACTCCACTTGAATGTATTTAATGTATTCTATGTGCATCAAACTTCAGATATTTAAGAGTGAACC